CACTTAAAATAGTGGCAAGACAAACAATGAACCAATCACAATTCACTTGAGCACTCCGCTGGATTGCTCCGGGGCTCACATAATATTGGCAAAGAATAGCATAGGGTCTTTCGTGTTTATTTTTAGGCTGCCTACTGTGGGCTATATTTCGGCACTATTCGGCAGGAGCACATTTGAGATGTGCCGTCTTTTTAATATTAATGTACCGCCAAACTTGCTACGAGTGTCGTCTTCGTTTGGGTTATCCCCAAGAGCGATTTATAGGTCAGGTTACACTGTTGAATATCCTTTTCTGTTTAGCTAAAGCGCGTGGACTTTGGCATGCCATAGTAGATGTTTTATGGCGCTTATAAAGACATAGAAATGACAGTCATGGCGCCAGTGAGGACATTGTTTTGATATAATGTTTGGCTAGTTTTTGTTTCCGGGTTCTTTTATATATTTTATTATTGTGGGAGTTTTGTGTAATAGAACATTTAAACATTTTGGGCGGCACTGCACGACCGTGCTCTGTGGACGAACCGCGCCTGGTGCAATCATAGTCATACTTTATTCAGAATAATAAAGCGATAAGAGACACACTTCTAAACACTGAAGAGCATTTCTGCACAGGTGGAATTTTCAGGATAAAATTTGTGTACGTTGTTAGGTGTGTTTTTTTTCTTCCTAAAATATATTTATTTTATCTTGAACTCCCACACAAAAGTAACCGGCTTTAACTCTAGACAGTGGCATCTCTGAAACCAAACAAAAAGCCTCACTTCTGTTGGCTGAGGAAGATAACTGGTAACATACCCGATAATGCCGACAGTTTAAACTTAAAATCCGATTCAGGTCCGATCACTTGTGCATAATTGGTATTGATTAGCAAAGCATTCTACATTGCAAGCAGAAGACGCGAGTTCGACTCCGTATCAGAAAGATGATTTCATCGAGTATCTCCGCTCTTGCTTTAACTTTTGGGACGAAAGAGCGTCATAAATTCTCGACAGCGGTGATAAAAGTAGGATGTCCAGCGGGAATAGGACTGTCAGACAAGCATGGTCTATCATATTTTTGGTAATAGCTAGCTTTTTGTAAATTGTCTGTATGTTGCATTTTGGACGTTTTCTCATTGTTGACACGGTGAGGAACACATATGCTGTGGAATAAAAACAGTACCTTTTGCAAGTTAATAATAGTGCATATAACGAGCTGCATTAAAATATATATAATTACAAGAATGGAGAGGATTGAAATGCCTGCTTTTTGCACCTTTAATTACGATTTCCTCAACAAAAATATAAAGTAGTTTGGTTTCAAATGAGAGTCATTTTCCTTTCTTTGATGCCCTACCGAAGAAAAAGGATTGTTAACAGGAAAAGGAGAAACAGTGAACCTCGCGTTGAATGCAGCGAATCTGTCGAGCCCAACGTCCAAGATTTTCGGCCCTCGAAGAATTTCAGACGCCTGTGCCAAGCTACCATGGCAAATGCTGGCTTATCTTGGGATCCTTTTGACTTCTTGAATCAAAAGCTCTTTACATTCAGATACTTTCCGACGTTTTGGCCCAAATTTACCACCACCTAAGTTTAGCATTCAACACTGGTGAACATGTCTACTATCAGCTATATTTGGTTCCCGAACTTGATCAGTAATATATGAAGATAGGTAAATTCGTCCAGTAACACATACCGAGATAACACCAAATCTCTCTCTCTCTCTCTCTCTCTCTCTCTCTCTCTCTCTCTCTCTCTCTCTCTCTCTCTCTCTCTCTCTCCCTTTCTCTCTCTCTCTTCAGTGGGTTGTTGGCGGGTGCTCTGCTTAGATGCGCTCCTTCTTTCCTATCAAAAGTCTATCACTCGGGAGACTTGAGTTCGGTTCCTGAGCACTGAGACTTTCTTTTGAGTGGCTGGGTGTTTCTGCTGGGATGTGGTATCCCTCTTAGTCCGGGTTAGCCCTGACAGTGACATGCAGGGTCGAAAGCCAGCTTTCTAAAGGATCTAAATCGAGTCAACAGACGCGTAAAAACACCTGCATTACCCCCCCCCCCCCAAACAAAAAGCGACCAACCAACAAACAAAAACAAAACTCCACACACACACACACATCAAGGTAAATGCAGGGGCAAACCAGGGGGAAAAACAAACTGAAATGTATACTAAATTAAACACAACTTCCTGGAGGGTACTGAATGAACATACAAAAAAGACGAGACTGCACTAAAATAAAGATAAGTGAGAAACACGATAAAGTTTCGCCTAACACGAAAGCAAATTTGGTAGTTCTTTTGGTGAAAACCGTCCAACGGCCTTTTGTAATCGATCATTTAAAAAAAACTGTTGAAGATTCCATACCGCGTGGCAACCTCTGACTGAATATTGACGTCATGGTCACTATTTTTAGTACCGGGGATTCATTTTGTTCAAAACAAACTAAGATTTACTAACTGGGGCGTCATGTGTCCTGCTTCATAACTAAACTGTCAGAAACACATCACTCGAGATTGTTTTACGGTCTGGAAGAGGAGAAGCTTGCCGTTACAACGATACTAAACATGTTAGGGTCACGTGGAGATACGTTGTTGTCATCACCGTCTAATTATAGGCTTATTTGGGGCTCATTTGATGAAAAAAATGGGCCCTACTTTGAAGAACGTACCCTAAAGATAATGACCCTAAAACGATTTTTTAAAAATATTTTCTAATGGAGGTCAGGGGTTATCGGTTCCCAAGATATCCAGGTACCCGAAAATGTAAAAAGTTGAAAATCGATATTTTGACCCAAACATCGTATTTTGAAGACCCACGCCTTCCCTCTATGTATTTTGTTACACTACAAGAGCACAAGACTTCTTCAGATGCAACATGTGAAGACTTTCAGACTCATTCCATGTATTTGCAGTTCAGCTAAAGTGTTACATGTACTTAAGTTGTCAAGAATGAAGCAGGAAAAAACTGCCATTAAAAAGTGAAAATATGGTGTGCAACAATATTCTTTTGCTGTTTCATCACATAAATATTAATTGAGCAATGTTCCACGGCCTTGTGGACTGCTAAACAAAAGTACAAGGAGCAATGTCATGACACTGTGAGGCGGATATTGCAGTAGCTAAGACTAAGACAAACAACAGACAAGCCAACAACAGAGTGACTGACATGGGTCCAATATAGTCAAAATCCTACCACTATTATCCACTGTATGTACGTGTACGTATGTATGTATATATTAATATTATATATACAAACAGTATATATAACTCAAATAACTATTTCACACAGTAAATAACCTCTCACTTTCAAAGCTCAAGTCAGAATTACCAGAAGCCCGGTCAATGACTTTTGCGTCTGCTGCATACATGATAACTATTTGATTTCAATCACTGATGCTCTGTATTGACCCATACAGTGGGGAAAACTTTGGCTAATTCAATAAAATACACTGGTTCTCTCTTATGGCTTCTCACACTATCTATTTAACTTGCTTGAAGCAATACTGAACAAAGGACGACAAAGTGAGGCCCTCCCATAGACTATTACAACGTAATGAATAACATCACTTCCCAATTTGAGAATGTTCAAACCTCGAATTCACCATTCTCATAGTCCAGGCTCAAGCAGATTCAAGACAACTAGTACAGTGGAACTTCGACCAGTCGGGCCTGACCCTCAGTTTCATTGAATCCGAGTGTTTCGTTAGAAATAGCAAATATGAGGTTTTTGTGAAGATCATTAATTAATTACAATGTCAATCACTGAGTAAGTAATGTATAAAGGGAACTAACAGGTGGTAGGCAACTTTGAAATGCCTGCTTTTTGCACCTTTAATTACGACTTCCTCAATAAAAATATAAAGTAGTTTGGTTTCAAAAGAGTCATTTTCCTTTCTTTGATGCCATACCGAAGAAAAAGGAAGGAACATTCCAGGAAAATAAACTGAACTCAACTAAGCACACATTGTGCAAATGGTGCGATCTGTTCAAACGCACGCCTGTGTCATCTATGATGTACTGTTTGCCAGACAAGTTGTGTTGCTGTGAAGAGCCTACCATATGGCAACGTCTGATTCCACAGACCAGCACTCAATTTATTATGTAGATCTACGTAAAGACTAACTTATCATTGTATTATATTGAGCAGTTGGTGGGGGGGAAAAAAACCGTGATTGTTTGCATGATATCTACTGACGTTCCACGCCCAGACCACTTGAGTCCCTCCCAAAAGACACATGCTCACACAGTAATATGTGTGCTGGCTGCCAGTCCGACCCCGACACACACTAAGACACCTGCGCATGCCAAAAACACATTTGCTGGTATGAAAGAAGACTGCTGATTCAACTGATTGGTCGAATAAGATACAAACGTTGCGGGCGGAAATTGAGCGAAGCCATGTCAGCTGGGCTGCTTCCCCTGCAAGTGACTTAGTTGAATCCGAGCTTTCTCATTAATGTGTTCGAGGAATCCAATTTATTTTTACTGACTTTAATGAATAAAATGTTGAATCTGAGTTTTCATTGAGGATCTGGGTCTACCAATGAAATAAACGGACTAAACGGGTGACAAAAGTTCTATTCCAAAAAAGTGACAGCAGAGTGAGTAAGATGGCAAGCAGCCTGGGCACACAATGTGGACCATAACCCTTTCAGCCCTGGCCTCCAGAGGCTACCGTGCTCATTGTCAAAATCACATTCCATATTACACTCAGGGAAGTCCTCGTCGTTACCAGCATCTAATTCAGAAAGATCTTCAACGCCATCAATAACGTCCCGAGTAGTACACACTGTTTTCGGTGCATATTCTGTCCCAGATGGGCCAGGTTGGCGATGGGTCTCGCTCACCACTGTGCCAGTGGCTAGGCATACGGCCAGTTCTACATGCCACCGCTGCAGTGGTGGCTAGGGCTCAAAAGGTTAATTAAAGTTGCATGTTTTTACTGTGAGGCAAACCAAGCCAGTGGAAGCAAGTCCAATGAAGGAGTCAATTATACTGTCAGTTTACGCAAAAATACAAAACAAATTCGTAAAATAATGCAGGCGAATTTTATTTACAAAATGGCAATGACATTCACAAGACGTTAGTGAAAATCACGTCATGTGGTTGTTGAATCCATGTCTTCCTCTTTACTTTCTTCCTTCTCTTTCTGCTCATCCACTAAAATAAATAAAACAAAGTATAATGTTAACCCATGTATGCTTAGTATGCTGAAATGGTTGTACATGGTAAATTTGTTTTTAAAGCACACAAAATAAAAACTAAGAAAAATAGGACATGAAAAATGCTTACTTGCATGACAAAATATTATTATAAGAACAAAATACCACTTCATATGAATTCACATCTTTCGCAGGAATATCTCAATCCCTTGAACAAAAAGAAATATTGACCCAATAGATACTGACTTGTCAAATTGACCTGAAAATTTTCACCCCAGTCATATCCTTCCTTCTACCCTCTTGCTAAAATTCCAGGTGCAGATAGTTTTACAGTCTTTGTAAACCACAGTGTAAATTTCAGTAATGAAACTCCCACTTTCATAACTGAGCTTTCTCTAATTTTGAGTTTGTTCATTCAGACTTGCTAACCAACTATTTCCTATAGTAAAAGCTTGACTCAAAGAGGGAACACGAAGTTATTTCATATAAGTTTGACCCGAAAAGGAAGTACGCAGTACTCTATGTAGGCAAAATATCGATGTACAGGGAGTGTACTTGTACCGTGTTCACAAGGGACCTCCAGGTTCTTCAGCCTTATTGAATAGGAATTAAAGCTCAATTAACTCTTTCAACCCTAAGTTTATTCCACGTTTCCAGGAGTTTTTTCTAATCACCTAAACCTGGTGCACTATGTCTCATTATAACTCCTAAAGCTTACCTGCAACTTCTAAATTGCGCAAACAAAGACTTACGTCATAACTAAAAAACTTGGAACGGGAATAGTTCCAAAAACAAGAAAAAACTAGCACTTAATGAAACGAAACAGTTGTCACTAGTATCGGACCCTCCCATACTTCCTATGTACAGTATACATTTAATTTTAAATAGCAAGGAAAAAAGCCCAAACAAGTCTGGGGAAGCATTTAATTGGAATCTATTTATATTATTTATCATCACATATGCTACAAACCTTCCAAGATTCTCTGTAACTCGTGAATGGATGTAATGAGTACCATAAACTGCTTCTTCCTCAACTCCAGCTGAAAAAAAAACAATTGAAAAACATATGTCAGAACATCTGAAACTTTTTATGCTGAAATGAATTTTGAATTATAAACAGTGCCTCAAATAGACAACAGCAAAACAAAAAAAAAGAGAAAAAAAAGGGGACCGGGGATCCACCTATCACATTATCTCTATATTTTAAAATATATGAGAAAAAAATTCAGGACCTGAAAAGCCGTTCACTATATGTGTGTGTTTCAGTATGTGCGTGAAGGACTGTATTCAGAGTATCTGCACCAGTCCCCTCTCTTCACTCAGGAGAGACAATGTTAATCCAGTTTTCACTAAAAATGGACAAGCACTTTATCTCCAGCTTCTTTTTAATAAAAAAATATGTTGGTGTTTTTACACCTCCATCAACACAATTGAGATCTTTTAGGAGATGAACTTCGACCCTGCCAATCAAGGTTGACCGAGCTGAGAGGGACACAACATCCCTGCAGAAAGACAGAGATTCTTGATTTTTTCAAAAAAATCTCCGAACTCGGGTCTCCTGCGTGTGACAGCGAAGCAGTAAACCATTACACCACAGATGCCAGCCAGCTTCTTTATTCCACCAGTATATTTTAACATTGTTGTTATCACAAATACCACATTCTAGCCCAAGGCAATGTCACATCACAGAAACAAAATATTCACAATCAAATGTTTGCAAATTTTGAACTATAACTCAGTGAACAAGAGCCTTACTTTACATTTCTTCTCATTTAATTAAATTGATCAAAAGCTGCTATAAGGGACAAAATAGATACTGCACAAACGAACATGGTGGAGGTTTCTTATTCCCAGAATAATGGACTTATGGGGGGGGGGGGGGGGGGGGGAAACCATGGGGAAATTGGATGCACTTTATGAAAAAGGTATCAAGAATGACCAAATCAAAAGGCAAAGTCCTGAAAGATGAATTTGTATAATAGTCATCACAGAAGCTTAGAACGCACGCATTTGAATAATCCACAGTACCTACAACAAGATTCAAACTATAATGACTATTGTAATGTCAAAGCAGTGGATTGATTTAGAGGTCAATTCTTTATTTTTGGGGAGGAGATACAGCAACAGGTTCTCACATATAATTCATGGCTAGGCCACACTGAAGTTTTGTGCTTTTGAGAGAGTCACATTACACAAATGAAAATAATGCCAGCTCAAGCTGGGAGGTAAAAATACATTTCCAACTGAACCAAATTTGCCCCTGAGAGCCCTGCCCCTTCGAGCTAACAGTATAAATGCAAGAAGACTCTTTTGGGTCAGGCTGCTAGATCTGTACACAGCACAGAGCTCTCAGGAGTTTGTTCAAATGCACAGAATAGTAAAGGTAGTCGAGCTCAGGTATATGATCAGCTCCATAAGTTCTCTAAAAATCGTTTAAATAACCAAAACAAACCTTTTCTTCTAGCTGTTGCTTTGTACTTGCAAGACTGGACAATTCTTTACCAAGGGTCTGGAGTTGACTGAAAATAAATATGAATACAGGTGAAATGAGTCTTTATGCACCTGTTTCCTGAGACAAGCAACTACTAAATCACAATAACATGTCTTAGAATGACATGGTCTTTGATATGCAAAAATCCAACATAACCTCTACAAGTCTTCTGTTCGGATGATTTTAAACTATAAATTACTTCCATGGGCATTTTTCTCAATTGAAAATTAACATTAATCCCAAATTCAATTCATTTTTCTGTTTGTTTTGAAAGAAGACAGCAGGTATTGAACTATTAATCAAATTTATGTGTTTGTTTTCTAAAAATGAAGTTGTTACTAATTCTTTATAGGTTTTTATCTCATGTCATTTGGACTATTTAGACTAAAGAAATTGAGAGAACACAATTTTGTAAAAAAATAAATAAAAATGACATATTAGACATGACCCAAAGGGTAACATTTATGAACATAAGATACACACATCTCATTAGTGCTCGCCAGAAACCCAAATGCAAACTGGATATCCAGTTCTTACACCTCATTTAAATAAAACTAAGTTCTTGAACAGGAACAAGCTGGAGCAGTTTTGTTTTAGTAGAGGTTTTACGGCACTCGCAACCTGCATAAAATCATACGAGCGCCAAGGGGTGGATGTCAACTGAGAAGTTCTTACAGGGAATCTCCGAATCAGGCTTACTCTGCTCATTTCTCTAGCTTCAACACCACAAAGTCTGCTTCGACTAACAAGGCACCCCGGAAATAGAGGATCAAAAGAGTGTGAAAAACATACAAAAGAAGTAGAGGAAAAAATGATGATAGTAAGGATTAAGAAAGAAAAAGCAGCAATTCCCTGTTGCAGTTCAGGCACAATTATGAGCATGACATTGATGAATCAGCCCATTTACAATTTTACAGTGCAGGAACATGTGTTAATGTCCCCCCTTTGGGAATGGCCTAAAGACACTTCAGTCAGTAGCACCGCCCTGGGGGGGTGAAGGTGGAGCAAACACAATGAAGCCCGTTAGATAGTTGTGCATTGTGCACATAGTTTGTGATGGGGGAAAATGAGCCCGTCCTTGCGCCTGATTTAAAAAACTAAATTGGAAACCCAACCCCCTTCGACTTTAATTTGCTTTTCAACCGGCTTTTTAAATCCAAGTTGATATCTAATTCGGGCCTACATTCTATGAGATGGAGAGGGAACAGGCTGGAGCAGACACAACAAAATTTTGCAAGGGCAAGGGGAGAGGTACGGGTGAGCCTGTTCGAGCACCTGATTTAAATAAGTAAGTTGGAGACCCAACCCCCTTCAACTTGCTTTTCATCCTGCTTTATGAATTCAAGTCAAGATCTTGGTCAGACCTACTTTCTATGAGATGGAGCAGGGGCAAGGTGGAGCAGGTGCAGTTTTCCACAGAGCGGGGGTAATGGGCCTATATGCAAAAGCAAACCCAGACTAATCGGAAATTCCTGAGAGCCAGACTTACTTTTAAACTTGTCAAGATCTTAACAAACCAGCAGCAAGTCAAGTGAGTGTGAAACAATTTTGGGTTGGAGATTATGTCACTGAAAAGGCCTGAAACCCAGGCAGATCAAATTATACTCTTTTACTTCCAAGCAATTAACCTGCAAAGCAGGAGCACTAAATGGCTTCCAGAACAAGCACATCACAGGATCTTCACAACCAACAAAATTGATAAGAGAAATGTCTTAATAGGAAAAATTATATAATAATAAAATAAAACCAGGAAATAAATGTAAATTAAGTGCAAAATTTAATTAAGTCCTTGTCCACGATGGAGATGAAGCCCATGAGTTTAACAAAGATGCAGAACAAATGTGAGCTGTGCATGAAAAGAAAATATTTCTGTGAAAATTGAATGTTCTGGAATATAACATGAAGGACATCGCTTACCGGGTAGTCTCTTGTCTGTCAGGCTGCTGTTGAATGATCTTAGCCAGGTTGTCATACTCTGTCAAGACAAGAGAACACAAATTTCGAATCTTTTGATTTTTCATTATGGTCTCTAATTATTCAGACCTGCAACATCTGCTAAAATTGAAGGTAAAGTTTGGTGGGGGTTTTTGGTAAGTTTTCAGGGCGCTCGCAATTGCATAAGGTCATATGAGCGTGTGAGACACATAAAGCGCTTTCAGTTGGTAGGAAATTTTGAATGTGGCCCGGGTGGCAAGGGATCTTTAACGTGCGCAACTTGCACATGGGACCTCCAAGATTGTTCGCCCTTGTCCGAGAAGGCCAGGTGTAGATCTTTCCTACCAGAAGATCAGCGTGTGGCTGAAAGATAGCAGTAAGTAGGAGCCAAGGAGTAGTCGCAGAAAGAGTCAGAAGCCCACAGGAGGGGGCAAAGGAGGTGAGGGGGTGGGGGCAAAAAAAGGAGACAAAAGCAGACGAGAGAATACTGCTACAGAGGAGGAAAGGAGGTGAAAGGAGACAATTTTAGAGAAGAAAATTTTTTCGCCGCTACCTGGATTCCAACCCGGGACCTTTGAATGAGAGGCGAACACCATAACCTGTAGGCCACTAGAGCCCCCTAAGGTAAAGTAGGGGTGAAAACAATTATAAGTGATGGGGAGGAGGGACGGTAGAGATAGAGAAGAAGAACAGGGGGAAGGGAGGGGAAGGAAGAGAAAGAGGAGGAAGGAAAAGTTAAAGGCAATAATAAACTTTTGATGCCAGGCTATTCTGTACATGATGTACTTAAACATTTAATTCCATAATCAATAAATTAAACTTTCTTAACGCTATAACCCCATAATTATTTTCCACATTTCTACAGAATTTTTTTCAGATCTCGTGAAATACAGGTAAGATGTTCATAAAATGGCTAAAATTGTGACAGAGGAGTATTTTATATATATTTATTTAACACTTCCGTGTCAAAATAAATCCACTTGGAATTATAGGAGATTGTATTAGCAATAATACTTCATGCACTCTGCAGTCTGATTGGACGCAGGGACCGCCCACTTGGGGAGCAGGCCAGTTTCACTGGACACTCCCATCGTCCACTCGGGGCAATAGAGTTAACTGTTCTGAGGCTTATTATTAAAAAGGAGGTGAACTCAGTGATGGCATAAACAGATAAACAGTACAGCTAAGATAATCAAGAGACATATTGCAAACCTTGACGATTTTTCCTGATGCACTTGGCTAGCTGCAGCTCTGCCTTGGCTTCTGTTATTTTAGCTGTGGCATCTTCAATTTTGTTTTCTGAGGCAAACGTGTACACATACATCAGACTCAAATAAAATTTAAAGCATAGGTCGGAAATGGTTGAAAGAATTAAGAAATATTATCAGTCTACTGCAATCATCTCTTCTTTAAGACGTTCAGAAGAAGCTTGACAGATCACATTTAAACTAGATAGAGGCTGGGCTGGTTTAACAGGAAGAAATCTGTGGTAAGAAAAGAAGTCCCCTGGCTGCATTTCTCCATACACATAAACATCTACATATTATTTCTTGGATTTATCAAACACAATTTCACAATTAAAGTAATTTAAAAAATTAAAGGTAAAAACATGTTGAATGATTCTGTAAATAACACTTTTAAAACAATGTCAAGATGGAGGACGAAAAAATAATTCTCTTTCACTTCCAGTAATGTTAATTTTTGAATTGCTGACTTACCAATGTCTTGTCTCAGCTTCTCATAGTTGTCTTGCTCCTGTTTATTCATCTCATATGTGTTCATGGCCTTCTCCACAGTGTACTCACACTGAGCAATCATTGCTTGCATACGCTGATACATAGCTTGAGAGCTGGTAACAGAAAAAAACGATCTTTATATAAAATTAATGAAAAGAGTTGACCAAAAAAAAACTTTGAGCACCCCCCCCCCCCATGTCTAGAAACACACATAACATAACCCCATATGTAACCTCTACACTAACTCATGAAATGTGGTGTTGGAGTTGGCATATATCATTCTCCTTACTTGACCCTTTTAGATGATATGTTGTCATTCACTTCACTTTCTTTCCTTGTACTGTGCAGTGGTCATACTGCAAACATACTTTGTTGACCATAGGGGTTGGTGATAACCCCATGAGTTTCACAAAAATACTTGTGAAATTAGGACACTAACATATGGCTACAAACTTATGCAATTTCTGAACATCCATCTTTCAGAGTACTTAAAAACACATGTTTCCCTTTCAGATATACATGCATTATCAAAATTGAAGTGATATTTCATAATCTAATTACAGAAAGCACTTTTATCACTACAGCATCACTCCCTTATCTGACCCGTTACAGGCACTGTCCAAAAAGCAAGAATGGACGAATCTGGAAAACAAGCCATGTAGTGTACAGGCACCACAAACACAAACGTCAACCCCAGAAGCCAACATTCAGCAATTTGACACACAATTAGTGAAAATAGGCAGCTGCAAGTTATGGAGATTGCTATGGAGATTGTTATGGCTCTTGACCTTCTCAAGACATCTGTGAATTATGTACATACCTAATGTTTCCTAAAGTGTTTGTTTGAAGAGTCCAAAAGCAACTGACCAAAAGAGACCTGTCATGTCTGGGTAAGGGCACTATACTCCATCACCACAGTTCCACTCTTCATTCAATGAATCTGCCAAAAGACTGGGCCCATAAGCATGACTGGAAGGAACTGCTACACATACACCTCACCTTGCTCTTCTATCTGACTCTTTTGAGACCCTAATGCAGAGACATTTAGTTCGACAGAGGTCCACAGAGGATAAAGATTTTATCATAGACATTCAAGGAGTGTATATTCTCTGGTGAGCTTCTGGAAACAATGCATCGGTCTTCATAGTATAGCTGAATAGTTTACTACATAATGTGTAAGTTTTGTTTAGATCTATTTACCATAGTTCCATGAGTGGCCATTTTCAGACGGTCACTGTACTACATGAAGAATACCAGGATTAGTAGGAGGAAACAGTAAAGGATATGACTGGCATCTGCTCTAAGTAACTTACTTTTCATCATCATCTTTTAAATGTGACCATCGAATGAATGTTTTCAATAGGTTGTTGAGCCTCTTGTCATCATTTCCACCTTCACCATCAATCAAAAGTCTCCTTCGTATAATGTCATCTGAAAGCAAAATAAATCATAAATTTTAAAATGCTGAAGTCAGATCTTTTGTCTATTCAAGAAAGAAATTTAGTCTTTAGAAGATTAATTTTTTCAAACATCATCACACAAAGGGAACTTCTTCATTGTAATTAACTGAAAAACAAATAAGATAAAAACCAAAGAGATCAAACTCTTTGTAGGTAAATCCAAGTCTTTGTTCTCATGTCTTTTCTCATCTGCATCATTTTTGAAAATTCTCTCAAAGCAGATCAGATCCCTTTTATCTGTCGTAGAAAATATGAGAAAGCTTTTACTAGACCCAGATCTATCATTATCAAGTGAATGTATATAAAGTGAAACAGACTAATAAAAGCAGTCAGGGAGTCTCAACTTTGTCATGCGTGATAACCCTTTGGTGACTGGTAAAGGGGGGGGGGGGGGGGGGGGGGGAATAGATTGGGCCAAGTTCAAGTTTTTAGTCTTTGCAGTGTTATCTATGGAAATCTGAAAGGATTTGTGGTGTGGCTTCCAGTGATCATTTTATGATTGAAGTTGTTCACCGATATATTGTTTCAATGAAAGTTTTAGGCAAGTGCAGGGGGGAGGTGCAGTGCCCCAGTAGCGCATAACCCTGCCACCTTTGTTTACAGCTCAAGGTATTTCATAGATGATGAGGGTGAGCCTTTAATTTCAACTTATTAAGTTTGATAAAGACATCCCTGACCCAGGCTGCCCACCAGGGGTAGGAGTAGGAGTAGGGAGGGAGTCAGAGTAGTTGTAGGAGTAGGAGTAGGTGGACAGCAATTGGGACTGAACTGACTGAAGTAGAAGGAGCTTAGATATTGTTAAGGAGGAAAACACAATAATTATGTGCCCGTTAGTCATATGTAAGATGATAAATACTAAGACTTACAATATCGATGCCCCCGTGATCAGAACTCATAAGCGAAAATTTTTGCGAAATCGACTCTTTCACACCATCACATTCCACTGTTTACTGTGCACACGCCAACAGAAGGTTTACATGAAAAAAAATGCATAAAAGTGTCTTTTATCATAAGTAAACAAAACTCGGAAGTCCACCCCTCCCCAAAAGGGGTTGTGATCAGAACTCGTAAGCGCCATCCTGCCCTTTACAAGCTTTAATTACAACTAAGCGCGGTGATTCGTGACAGGTCATCAACGCTAAGAAGTGGTCAAAGCAACTCCTATCTACCTTTTGTACCTGAATCACCGTGTTTTCCAGTTCCGACATGTTTTGTATCAGTCACAATCGACAAATCATCATCTTCTGTCGGACCTGCTTCACTTCTGACATCTACGTCACCACATCCATCTGTGCCTCTTATACTACAGTCAATCCTGAACCATCTTCTCTACCTGGTTCACCCCGTTGTCCAAAGTGATCACCTTATAATAATATTATGTCACTCACCGCTGACTCAGCACCACCCATTGCCGAGCCTGCATTAGTTCTGAAGCCCCACTGATCAAATCCATATGGTCAGTCCCCTCATGTCTCACTCGAAGTTGACCCTGCATCCCCTTTCTGGTCAGATTCCCCTGATTTGTCTGCTCATATGCCACCCATTGTGGAACTTGGAAACAACGTTGCACTCTTAGCCTGGTTCACCACAGAATATGTTGTCTGAATCAGATCATGCGTACAGTCTGACTTTAAAAACAAAAATTACAATGGTAGAAAGTTCCAGCAGAACGGTAGCCAAACTTCTAACGAATGGATTTATGCAAGCAAGGTCAGGCATACGTCTGAAATGATAAACACAAACCCGTATGAGGAATGAAAAGGTCGTGTGAATGCAAGACAGCAGCATTGAAGTGCAAAGAACTTTCTGAATGTGACAGACAGAAAGTTCTCAATTATATCTGGCTCCAGTCCTGAAAAGCAGCATACATTAAATGCCCAAACGGAAGAGGGTCCTGAGCATCTCTAGACATGAATGGATGTTGAATATCTTTTGGAAAAAGAACGCCAGATACTCAGTGTATGCAAAAGCCTGTACCTCAGGACAACAACTCTTGGTGATTGATGTATTATTAGGAACATTGTCGTGGATGGAGACATTTCTGTCACCAACGAAATTGCCAGTACAGAGCTTTGCCCAGACACTGCCGCAAGAGACAACCCTCACTACAAGAAAGCACCAGAGCAAAAAACATTTCTTATTGGTGGTTTCTTTGAAAAAGTGTAAAAATTGAGTTCTCATTATTGTCGAAAACAAAGCAGGAAAGTTGTACACAGAGCCAATTTTCAATAGTAAAACAAACTTCACAGAATAATTATGTTGCGCTTGGTCACCAAAAAAACAACAATGGCATTTGGCCATCTCGGCGTCCAGGGGAATTTTCCATGAACAAAATATGTCTGTTAACGCGTCAGTGCAACCTGTGTGTGGGCCATGCGGCCGGAAACGTCCGTGATGATACTTGGAAGCGTTTCGGAGAAGGAAAGTCACAAGCTCAAGCCTAAAAGGACAACAATAAGAAACTGGATGCAGCAAGCAACAGTACAAATCTGTGCAATTGCCATGGACATTCAGTCTGTCCTCTTAGCGCCTTGTCTGCAAGCTCCATCGCTTTATTACAAAACTAAATTGTCCACGCACAACTTCACAAAAGATAACTTGGTGACAAAGGATGCTACGTTTGACATAAAGGGCAGGGTGAATTGTCGACCAGTTTGCGTCATGAATCATTGACTATCTTCAAACCAAAGCCAACTGTGAAACAGATTAATCTATTCAGACAGTTGCTGTTGCAAAAATAGAAATGCTGTTCTAAAACCTGTTGAGAAGACAACCCACGAAGGATTTTATTCACAATGTGTACGCCATTATCATGCAAATAGCCCTCTGTTCAATATCACTTGTGTCATCATAATTTTACTTATATGTGTGTGTTTCTTTGTCTGCTTGTGTGTGCTTATGTGTGTGTGTGTGTGTGTGTGCATTTGCGAGTGTGTTTGTCTGTGTGCATGCGTGCGTGCGTGTGTGTGTGTGTGTGTGTGTGTGTGCCTTTGGAGATCTTAGACTGGTGCCAAAGTTTTTTTCCCCATCATGAATCTTTTTTCTTTAATTCGACGCTGCAGACAAATAAATAACTTACTCTTTTGTTTTTTAATTTAAACTCAAAGAAAGATGCTCTAAGAAGTTTATGTAAAATGAGTAAGGATAAGAAAATGCATAGCTGAACATGCACATGAAGTGTCAGACAATTTGCATCATGCATCATCCAGCCTCGTTATTCTGGCAAAGGGCAACCAGTCCTGGCACTTCTCTTGTCTCCAGTGCAGGGTGTGGTAGCCAGGAGATTGCAATGATATTGTTTTAATTGTAACCCGGCCAGGAATCAAACCCTAACCTCCCTTATCTCACTAAGGTGTCCTGACCACCATCTACTGAAGTCAGTTCTTTTGTAATACGAAAATATTGTCGCTTACGAGTATGCACTTTACCAATATTTCACCATGATCAAACCTTGTAAACGACAATAGTCGTCGCTTACGAGGTCTGATCATAACCACGGTAATGTAATCATTCCTCGTAAGTGTAAGAAAATCAATTTTTAAAAAGTTTTAACCCTCATTTATTTACATTTTTTTGAGTGGTTTGCGAAATGAAAGAGGTATGAAAACGCCGTTTTAATTTAAAATTAATCAGTTTTTTCCCTTTTCCTGCAAATTTTTCTGTCTGGCGCTTACTTACACGACGTCTGATCATCAGGGCATCGATATGAACAAGAGAAGAGCCCAATTCAAATCCAAGTAATGGTAAGAATAAGATTGAACTTTAGTGGACTCAACACTGAAAGAAGCTGGAACTACTTTTGAGCTTCACTGTGCAATGGTCCGCTCTTGTTTTGCATATGCATGTGTCTTTTAAAAGTATTTTTGTAGCTTCGGGGACCCTGAAACCCTTCACTAACACAGGAAACCCCTCATGCCATTAAACGTAGAAGGATGCAAAATATTTTAAGGTAAGGCGGCCATTTTGAGTGACATCAGACCGGAATATCCCCTCCGATTATGTGACTATATGTAAATATATATATATAGCGAACGGGATGGCACAACGCTAACGCTTTGGTGCGATGTTTTTCCAAGAATACCGGTAATGTGATAATGCGGTGCTCCGATGATGAATAGTCTCTTTTATACGGTAGATCTAGAGGAAACATTCAAAGAATTAATTCAACAGACGCAGTGAACCGGAAAATTAGGAAGCTCAAACCCGTCAATGTCTCAATGAGGGAAATCGTTGACATTCGTACGGTGTCAATACTGGAATTCCGAAGTGTTATTAACATGACATACCGGAAACATGTCATTCTCGGTACCTCCATGGCCTTCTTAATATAGTCTGTGGGTATCCCAGATGACATCACATTACTAAAAGTAGCAGCCAATCAGAAAGATGCGTCTTCTACGTTTAAGTTTAACGGCATGTGGAAACCCCACACAGTTGGGTATCTTATACTTTGGCACGTTAAATTCCCAAAGTGTACTAGAATCTAATCCCCGACTCAGACCTTCAAAACTTTGAACTGGGCCTAAAAATGCGCAAACTAGATCTACCATAATTTTGTCATATTCAATGAACAGATCGTATAACAGTGGTTTTCGGTCTTCCATCATGATTTTGGAAGCCATTGGGTATAATCTTGATGATATAAGAATTTAGATACAGATCTAATAGTGGTCGCTCGTTTCGGAAGTCCTCAATTGAAGAATTTAACGTGCTAAAGTATAAGATCACCCACAGTTGTACTACTGTTGTACTGGCTAGATTCTAGTGCGCATAAAAATAGGCTACAGGTAAACACTGTGGGTCCACCAATGTCCGATCCAGCCCAAGTAATTTTTATCAGAAAAATAGAATTGCTGTATTGTCTTTACTGTAAGGTTTACTCTCTGACTCTCCTTGACTCCTAGAAATCTAGAGACTAAGATCTACCCTACAGTAACAGTCATTCATTTCATTTTTCAGCAAACTCAAGAAATCGGACCTCTGCATTCTGCATCACTCCAGATTCTAAGCTTCAAAATTATCAAAGTCTTAAGGAAGTTGATCTATTCTAAAACCATCATACCCTTGTTTTTAAACAGTAAATTTAACTCACTGATAAATATAGCCTATAAGGACAGATACTATTCTGTGTAAAACTGCACTAACTGTAACAGACAACAAAACTCATACCGTCGGTGACAGCCGCCATTTTGTAACTTTCCAGTCAACTTTTTACAATTTTCCAGCTCGCTCTTCACTTCCAAGTTTTCAAACCGCACCACAGAATTCTACATTAATTAAATCTAGGCCTAGCCTACACAAGGGGCCTAGCCTGGGCCTGGCCTAACTCTAAGAATTCTTGAACCGCACTAAAATAAGGGGGCTGTGCCAGGGGAAGACAAAAGTGCCTGGGTTTAGTATCTAATAAAATTTTCATTCGTCATCAAATTTAGCAGTAACTGAAGCAATGAAGTAGGAAGAACAAACAATGAAAATACACAGATATTTACATAGCCTATACCCAAGGAGTTTAGAACTTTTAATCTCCTTGCCTATACCGTAGTCACAATAATTAGCAACTTTAAACCGACACAAAAAGGTAATTCAACTAGAAATCTAGTAACGACGATGATAATAAGAAGAATGTAGCCTACATTCTAGAGTAACTCAGGCAGCAGTTACAAGCAAGAACCAAATCAAAATTAAGTCATCACGAAAGGTAAAGCTTCCACAATCGTGCGCTTTTTAAAGTTATACTATAAGTGTAACTAAAATAAACAAAATAAAAAACATTCTAAAATATTAATGCGCGCCGAGCGTGCATTTTGAGCACTGATGAGAGAACCAGGAATTAGCGAATTGATACATACCAGGAGAAAAAACTTAAATCAACAGCTTTCGTACAATGCCAGAATGCCATAGAAGGTTGGAGTATATGCTTTGGCACGATCGACGGACAAGATTTCCAGAGTCCTGAGAGCTACAATTTAATGCACTTCAAAGATCAGAATTTAAGTCCGCAACAGTATTTTCACTGCTCATTCAACGCAAGTAAAGGGGAATTTTATTCATGTGTATGTATATCTGACAGGTTACAGGACACTTGGGCCTACGTGGACTGAGAACAGGAAAAGACCCTGTCTATTGAGGATTATCAAATTTAAAGATTAAAAAAAAAAAATGAACTCTGTTAGAAACAGAGTGGCTTGCAGCAGCTTATTAGGGACACGACTAATTTAACTATACAGAACAATAGAAACGCCCCTACAAATAGTAAAAGATCGCAGACATTGAATGAGCGAGAAGACAGCAGTATCACGCTCACTAATACCCTTTAGATGCACACAAATTGCTGCATCTTTTACATTATTATAGTAGGTTTTAGGGGTGAATATGCATGTTTCTTGTCTTTTACTTCAGTCGTTGGGCATTGCAGAGTCCACCATCGGAGCAAGAGTGGTTCATGAAATGACGTAGGCCTACTTATAAACCTCATGTTATAATGAAATGACGTAGGCCTACTTATAAACCTCATGTTATAATGAAATGACGTAGGCCTACTTATAAACCTCATGTTATAATGAAATGACGTAGGCCTACTTATAAACCTCATGTTATAATGAAATACATGACACAAAAATACAATGGATGACCACACGTACCAAGACAATTATTTAACTATTAAATCAAAATGGAAGCTACCAAACCTGCGTTCGGAACAAAGTTATGTACGAGGGTGGAATTCCAACAGTATTTTCACTGCTCTTGCCTTGCAGACTCGATCAAGTACTTGAATAAGGTATTTGACGCAATCGCCGCCTAGAAAAGGGGATAACTAAAAACAAACAAACAACCCAACAATTTTTCAACTGTTAGATAACTTGAGATCAGAGGTGTGTGTGCAGAGGGTTGAGGGGAGGGGGGGAGTAGTCGAAATCTTGCAAGATATCAGCTAAATGACTACAAAAGGTTCATTGACTCAACAGAGATCAACATTAGAACCAGATAATTTACTGTACGAGTCTGCTATAAACCCGGGAATAGACAGCGGAGGGTCTCAGCCATTTAAAGAGGAAACCAGTCTCAATATGAAAGTGAAAGAGAAAGACAACGCAACTATGTCATATAACATGCAATACCTGAAGCGACGTACCCTGAGGCAATAGCGCAAAAAAACAAAACAACCAACAACAACAAACAATCTCTTCCGTGCTCACAGGCACCACCATCACTGGCCCTATCATGACACAAAATCTGGACCAAATGCAGTGAGTAGGACAACAGAGCAAACAATCATCTGCCGTGACACACACAATGGAAGACCAAGGGAAGCTGGTGTCTTTAGAGGGTTGGGGAGGGACAGCAACCTGCGTGGAAAATCCAGCAGAATATTCAACCAGCTGATAACTGGCACGATCAGCAAGCGGACCCTTTCATGGATCCTGGAGAGGAGGGAGGAACAGCTATATATGGCATTGTGCCGCCTGCAATGATACCTATTCTCCAACCAACCAAGTAAGTAAGTAAGTAAGTAAGTAAGTAAGTAAATAAGTAAGGAAGTAAGTAAGTAAGTTATAAGTAAGTACATGTATAATAAGTAAGTAAGTACGCAAATAAGTACGCAAGCAAGTAAGTAAGTAAGTAAGCAAGTAAGTAAGTAAGTAAGTAAGTAAGTAAGTAAGTAAGTAAGTAAGTAAGTAAGTAAGTAAGTAAGTAAGTAAGTAAGTACGCAAATAAGTACGCAAGCAAGTAAGTAAGTAAGTAAGCAAGTAAGTAAGTAAGTAAGTAAGTAAGTAAGTAAGTAAGTAAGTAAGTAAGTAAGTGAGTGAGTAAGTAAGCAAACTAGCTTACAGTTATATCAACTGCTTCAAAAATAATAATTATATATTAACGTAATACTACAGAGCTTGAGCTTTGAGGCGCCCCCTAGTAAGCTATCGATTTGGGTTTCAAGTTTGCGATCTAAAGGTAATTTCATTGCTCAAGCATTATTATTATGCGTCCCGGTTATTTTTGTTCTCGTAATGATCAAATAAGTACGCAAGCAAGTAAGCAAGTAAGTAAGTAAGTAAGTAAGTAAGTAAGTAAGTAAGTAAGTAAGCAAGTAAGTAAGCAAGTAAGTAAGTAAGTAAGTAAATAAGTAAGTAAGTAAGTAAGTAAGCAAGTAAGTAAGTAAGTAAATAAGTAAGCAAGTAAGTAAGTAAGCAAGTAAGTAAGTAAGTAAGTAAGTAAGTAAGTAAGTAAGTAAGTAAGTAAGTAAGTAAGTAAGTAAGCAAGTAAGTAAGTAAGTAAATAAGTAAGTAAGTAAGTAAGTAAGTAAGCAAGTAAGTAAGTAAGCAAGTAAGTAAGTAAGTAAGCAAGTAAGTAAGTAAGCAAGTAAGTAAGTAAGTAAATAAGTAAGCAAGTAAGTAAGTAAGCAAGTAAGTAAGTAAGTAAGCAAGTAAGTAAGTAAGTAAATAAGTAAGCAAGTAAGTAAGTAAGTAAGTAAGCAAGTAAGTAAGTAAGTAAGCAAGCAAGCAAGTAAGTAAGTAAGTAAGCAAGTAAGTAAGTAAGTAAGTAAGTAAGCAAGTAAGTAAGTAAGTAAGTAAGTAAGCAAGCAAGCAAGCGTGTCAGACATGGACTCTAACAAAAGCCCTAGAGAGGAAACTGGTCACATGCGAGATGAAATGCTTAAGAAGAGCGGTCAACAAAACAAGAAGAGACAAAATTTAAAATGAAGTCATAAGGGACACCGTGGGAGCAACACCAGTCCTACCACACATTGAAAAACAAAAGGTCAAGTGGTTCGGACACCTCACGCGGATGCCCTCAAACCATCCAGCTCTGAGAGCATACAACATTAAATATTCTGGATGGAGAGCCAGAGGAAGACCAAGGCGACGATGGAGTGAATCTGTGGCAGACACCCTTAAAGATCATGGGATGTCCCTCCTACAGGCCACACGACTTGCTGCAGACAGACACCCGTGTCTCCCCGCGACACCCCAGGGTACAAGCGGAAGAAAAAAAAGTAAAAGTAAAGTAAGTAATGATCAACAATAAATACAAAGATGAAACAACAGAAATATAGTTTGTAGATAAGCTTCCGATAAGGATTTGATCATGAGAAGATATTTTTTAAAAACCAAACCAGGAAGCACTGTGAGAAATGCACTTGGGCCGCTTACCGTACTTATAACAACAATTAGGAAGCAACACTGCAGTTTCTTGGCCATTGTTAAATCGATTATATCGTTTTAAATACATCTCTTTTTTTTGCGCTGTAGAAATTGAAGGCATACGAGACGGGTAAACCCGATGCCCAAAGTGACTTACATTGTATTTGGAAAACCTGGATATAAATTAAGTTACGGGAAAACACCAGGATAATATAGGTGGGTTGTTGTTGTTGTTGTTGTTGTTGTTGTTGTTGTTGTTGTTGTTGTTGTTGTTGTTATTGTTTTTTTGTTTTTTTTAAAAGCATCCAAGCAGAGAATTGATTGAATAGAGAACCATGACCGTCAATGCTTGTTTCCGATCTGGTACATTATATTGATGATGAATGCCAGTTGATCTATCATAATAATAAATGTTGGTGAGCATGTGGTGTGATGTGATGTGATTTGTTTGTGTGTATGTGTGTGTGTGTGTATCTGTCTGTCTGTCTGTCTGTCTGTCTGTCTGTCTGTCTGTCTGTCTGTCTGTCTTATAACCTGTCTGCATTGCACAAATTCCCGCCCAATAACAAGTTTTATGCTCTTTTCATCATAAAGTGCCAGACCTGCTACAGACATTCGCGATCGTGATCTTCCATTCATCCCTTTGCTTGGATGCTCTCAGAAAGGTACATATTATCCTGATCTTCCCCGTCACCCACCCGTTTAAGTTCTCCAAGTAAGTTGCTCTGGGTCTACCCCCTACCTCGTTTGCCTTCAAATTTGCCAGTTAGAGCCAGGCGTTCAAGACCTTTATGTCTATGTAAGTGTCTCAGAAACCGTTCTTTTCAATCTATATTATTACGCCATTAGATCTGATAACATTCTGAAACAATCACAGTATCCTGGGAAGAATGATAATAGTACGAGCTGACGTGACATTTTATAGGCGATGAAGGACTTACACACTGACAAAATCTTTCGCTGTCTATGGCCAGAGTAGGCCTACCCATTCACATCCGAGTGGAGTGATGAAAATCCGTATTAAATCCTTTTCCCGAGGAAAAACGTCGGGTCGAGCTCAGCTTCAAACACCCGAATGAACAACCTCACGATTATGAGTTCGATAGCGTAATGTATACCCTCAAATATTT